TATCTTTTGGGTTGTACTTGCAATGATTCCAATGAATATAGTTATAAGGCAGTGGCGGATCTGGGCCCGGGCCTAGACGGGCCATGGCCCGGGCATCAGAAGTCAGTAATGAGATTCATTAGATGCAATGTAAACAATTCCCTGCCTCAAGTTTAGATAAAGCAAACCACAAGCCACACCAGAGTACCTACAAGTGCTTCAAGAGCATTCTAAGCACTGTATAGATGAGGAAATTGTCATAAAAATGGCCAAAAGATACATAACCATAAAATAACTGGTTGAAAGTGGACACACCCACTTCCTGGCCCTACCATTAACTTGCACCCAGATCCGCCACTGTTATAAGGCCACTTCGATGGTAACAAACCTCAGCTACGCCACTGCTTATATGTACAGATTGGGTTTCTTGAGTAGTGTTATGCTATTGAATGGGGGTTTTACCATTGATTTTCTTACTATTTTCGCTAATATTACATTTTGCTAAATCAGGGTTCCCTTAAAAACGCTAAAATTTAAGAGCGCAATTAATACCCACCCTAAGGCATATTAGCATTCAGTCATGATTTGTGTCTTTTTAGATTTGGGTGTAGTTGATGAAGTGAGAGATTAAATACCAACTTCAAAGCAGAAGAGACACGACCTGTACAAACTCACAGAGTCATGAAGGGAAATTTGATTAACTGATACCTTTACCATCATGTGTGCTTTTATGTACTCTTTTTGTTATTTTTTATACTATTAATTTTACCATGCTTACAGTATGAGTATTTGTTATAATGATAATTATTATCATCATTATTCATTAATTTTGCTGACACAACAGACACATTATGCTGACACAACTATATGCTGACCACACAAACACTTACTGGTACACAATTATCACAGATCAACAAACACAACATGCATTATCAGCTATATAAAATCCCCTTGTTACAGCATAAAAGAAAGCAATCACAAACAGACCTTAGCATTGAATAAGCAAGTTACAAATTTTTTTCAAGAGGAGCCTTCAACCTTCTAAATTCTAAAAATGACTGATGCTGCTAATGCCATTGACAAGGCTATGTTTAATCCAAGTGGTATAGGGTTTGCAGGCACATTTCCAAATGGACCTGGTAGTAACTGGGGTGCAGCTGGTGGTGTTAGAGTTGCTGGAGCTGATACCTGGGGAGTTGGAGTGGGAGCTGGTGTTGTAGGGCAGGGACATGATATCATTGGACCCCAGTTTAGCATCGGAGTTGGTTTTAAGTTTTGAATTACAAATAACTACATGTATTTTGCTGTTTCTTTGTGTTCCCCTCACTGATATTTTATAACTTTTAACAAATGAACCTAAATGAAACCTTGCCCTTAATTATTGTTCTACTGTGTTTGTTATTACTTATCATTTTGCTTTGATGATAATAATAATTGTAATAAAATAAATTAATAATAATAATAATAATATTCGCGCCAAATGCCTGGCAAATGGTATGGTACGGTACGCGCCTACGCGCAGTACGCGGTGCAGGTGGGACTGAGAAGAGGCGTGACTATTGATAAAAATGGCGTCTAACAACAAATTAATGATGTCGTGGCACGACAGATCTTGGATCCCGAACCTAAACCAGGACAATATCATGGACTACTTCTCTCAAAGGAGCAACCCGTTCTATGACAGAACGTGCAATAACGAAGTGATAAGAATGCAAAGGGGTGACCCCTCTCACTTAGTGTAGGTATCATATGGGTATATAATTATTGCTTTATTATTATTGTTATTCATATTTTAGTAATATGACTGGTATTGAATATTCCTTATTCCTGGTACAAGAGCCGGTCCTTTATGTCATTAAAAAGGTGCACAGGCAGTCACCAGAGAAAGGTATGATAAATAAACAAGTGGGGGCCACCTATTCATATCTTTCCTATGAATGATGTTGCCCATTTATAATGATATTCATTGTGATACCGTAAATAGAATTTTTTCAGGCCGCCATTGTGGAGGTATTGCTGCACTGTTTCCAATGGAGCTCGATACACTTTCTGCCGTTTTGTAAGGAGAGTAAGCAGTTATAGCCTCAAAAGTAAAAAATTGCAACATTTATCTTTCTTCTCAGTAGTCTGCAACTGTTTAGAGCCACTGGGGTGGCGTGGAGAAGTAGAATTGACAGTTTTTAGCCTGTTGGTCCATTGTAGCTAATGATAGTATACCTCCACAATGGCGGCCTGAAAATTTTTCTGTTTACGGTATCACAATGAATATCATTATAAATGGGCAACGTCATTCACAGGAAAGATATGAATAAGCAAGGGCAGATTATTCATTGTATATGTATATGTGTAGTGTGTACAATCAACAATGTGTGTTCCAGGTGGGTAACTTTGAATCAAATATAGAAGATATGGATAGTCCGAATGTGCCTTTAATTTTTAGTTATCCCTTTGGCAAATTATTACGTACTTGGAGGTGTGGTCTATCAGTGTCCTGATTTGCATTCGGTCATCAATTCTCGACTTGTAAGTCAGTCAAGCAATTTAAAAATTTTTAATTATTACTAGCTCTCTTCATTGCACCTTATTCATCAAGCTTTTGAAGAAGGTTAGTGTGTTCATTAGTATTATCAAGAGTACTTTTGGTATTATCTATGCCATTTTTCACTGACTCTATTATCTATTGTGTGATCTAATACACACACACACACACACAAACACAGCTCAATCTTATGCCAGGTATGGTCCAAGTCAAGGATATTATTGGAAATTCCCAGGAGACTCTGGTTAGACTATTATTATTATTATTGCCATTAATATTATCAATTAATTATGAACTACAGAAGAGACTACATCTCAGACTACTAGTAAGACAAAGAATGAACCTTCAGAGATGCAAAGGAAGCGTGTAGACGGGCTCTTATTAGAACTCATCAAACAGTTCCCGCCTAAAGTTGTACAGCCAAAAGAGGATGGCAAGCCTCTTCCAAGTACAACAATTTGTATATATCATTATCTTTTACTCCCTCCCTCCCTCCTCCATTGTCTTTTACTCCCTCCCTCCTCCATCCTCTCTCCTCCATTAGGTGCTCCTGGTGTTACTGTTAGAGGAGAATCTGTTGACAGTAAAGTTGTTCCACAGGCCCCTAATGCCAAGCAACCAGCAGCTCCTCCCACTTCAATAAACAGTGAAATAAAATTACCAGACACTAAAAGAAAGAAACTAAATTAATAATAATAATTTTGTCAATAAACCTCACTAATGAGAATGACCACGTGCAAGCACGTGGGTACTAATTTGGGGGAGTGGCCACTGAAAGAAAGATGTATGCTTATTTATTCAGAAGAATACCTCTAGATAAAGGCTTGTTGGTAGTCTATCGTTAATACTGTAGCTAATCACCTTCATAAAGTTTTCTAGGATTTTTGAGGGTCATTTAATGAGCTGCAGTGGGCTATCAAGAATTAGAGTAAGCAAATAAACTAGATTTACTCACTAACCAAAAGTTATTTTACATAATAAACCATCAACTGATGTCAGTATGTATCACTTTAGCTTTACTGTGACAAGAATGGGAATGACACAAAGTGAAGGGGCGGGGCGAGACTATGACCAAACATAAGAAGCAACCAACAGCAACAAGGAGTTACCTACCCCATGTCTTAACAGATTGATGTAAGAATTATTATTATAATTGTTGTTGTTGTTGTTCTTGTTGTTGCTTTTATTACAGTTGATGGAGGTGTCCTCAGGTGATGAAACAGGCGAGGAGGAGAGAGAGAGAGGAAGAGACCACAGTCCAACCACTGCCATGGAGTAATGTAGCAATCAATTAATAACTAATTATTTATTTATTTATTTATTATTGATTAGGGATTGGTTTCATTTATTATCTCATGAAATGTTCAATCCTTATTACAGACTCTCTGAATATTCCGCAATGTATTCAACAGTAATAATAATTAAAATAGTATATTTTACAATCCATTTACATATAAATGTATGTGTATAATTATTATTTTATTTTATTTCCAGTGATGATTATATGCTACAGATCAATCCAGACTCTAGTGTGTATAATGAATATTATTTAGACTATATCAAGTTCATTGGTCGTGTCTGTAGAATGGCAATATGCCACAAGAACATTGTTGATGGTAAGAAACAGAATATTGGTATTTAAATGGCCAACTACTACTTCTTTGTATTTTTACCACATTTCTATTATAAATATTAAATATTAGCAAGGTTGTCCAGTACAATTTTAATGGATTGTCTCTCTTTATTTTATGCAGCATTCTTCATTTATTCAGACATATTATCTTTATGTCAAAGGCTGGTAGTTCATCAGGTTTCACAGTACATACTCCACTGCACATTTTACCTTGATCATATACCTCCTTACAGTCAGTCACAAGGGAGACAAGCTACATTTGTGAGTTAGTTATGTCTGTTATTGTTATTATTATTATTATTATTATTATTATTATTATTATTATTATTATTATTATTATTATTATTATCATTGTTATTGTTATTGTATAACAGTATATACTCCACTGCACATTTTACCTTGATCATATACCTCCTTACAGTCAGTCACAAGGGAGACAAGCTAAATTAGTAAATAGTTAGTTATGTCTGTTATTGTTATTATTATTATTATTATTATTATTATTATTATTGTTATTGTTATTATATAACATAACATATGTTGTGTTTCCTGTGCAGTAGCAATGCTAATAAGAATGAAGCATCCTATCAGCTTAAAATAAGAACAGGAATCCATCTTGTCTTGACTTGCTGTATAGAACTAATACTGAACAATCCTTTTACTGTAGGCTACCAGTGATGAGTGTTTGTGTACAACTACTGCTTTTATAATATGCTAGAGCTTTATTTAATATTAGTCAAAATTATTGTGAATTTACTTACTACTACAGGTCAGTTACTCTATTATTTGCCTGACATAATTTTACTGCATGCAATATGTCATCAGTATTTGATGTACAGTATATTGTTCAGTAAAGGTAGAGATGGCATTGAATGGAATGATATGTATACTTCATTAATGATGATAGACAAACACATCACATACATGTATCTGTTGGTGTATTCAAGGTACAAAATAAGGTTCTCATATTTGTTAATCAAATGTTCTAAAAAGAATACAAACTGAGTCTTTGTATCTAATATTTTAGGCAGCAAAAGTGCTATCACAGTGCTTTTATATTGTGTAGAGAATTTGAGCTGTTTCTGGGCAAAATAGAAATGTTAATTTTACTCTAAAAATTTGCTAAAATATTGTGTGTAGTTTTTTGTATTTGTGTTTTTAATCAGTGGCTACAGTAGGTGTGGTAATACATGTAAGTTCTGTGATTTCACAAATGACAAATCAGTACTGACTCAGAAAAATACAAGATGCATGTATAGAGTAAATATGTCAATAGGAAATGTAAATACTGTGAATATAAAATATGTTTATTGCTTGTATCCTGGGAAGCCATAAGATGAATGGTTCTATGTAGAGTACACTATTACTGATATCACTGGTGGGACCAAGTATACTTGTTACATACATGTACATGCTACATGTATTTATTCTTAGTATTCTGGTCCTAATGCCTTTCTAATGGTAACCTCATTATCATTTCTACACATACACTGCTAGTGTTTGTTAATTGTGATTGCATGTACATGTACACTCATAATGTATTTGACAAGACTTGAAATCAATTCAATATTTGTAGCAAAAAGTAAATATAAATGGACTCAACTACACTAGCAACAATGAACTGTTAGTTCTCCAGTAGACACTGACTGTTTAACTGCTTCTAAGTTTCATTTCAGTTGTCTTCAGAGAATAATAGTGTCCCTTGAAATGATACCAATTGACACCATTAGCATATGAGGAGTGATGGCCAACCAAATAGAGGCCATTGAGGTTTGAAGCATGACATGCTCTATACCACCATGCTCCTTTATAAACTATTGCACAGTTTCCTGAGGCGGCATCATTGTCTTGATTCTTGGTAGAGAACTTCATTCCATTATGAGCGCTCAGACTATCTCCAGCATTGCCTTTATATCCAGACACAGTCAGTTTGTACTTTGTAACTGCATTCCCTACATTAAATTTAGAATATGTAGCAAACCTCTTATTCCCATTAAAATCTGCCATGTCAACACGAAGCCTAGTGCTTTGTCCTGCTGTAAGTCGATTTATTTTGTTAAGTCCCAGCCAGAACTCTCCTTTGAGGTCACCAAATCCTTTTTCATAGTCAGCCCAGTTGAGGTAGAAGTTAACAGAACCATCCATTCTCCTTTGAAATACAGTCCAGCCACCCCCATTACTCATATCACAATAAACCTATAATGCAAGTTATATGCTGCTACAGTGTAGCCTCTTTATTAAGGACACCATTGGGCCCACACTACCTGTCCTTAATGCAGAGGTGTCCTCATTTTAGAGTAGTGTTGTGCAGTACTCTATTTTCTGTTTTAGTTCTAGTTTTAGTTCTACCAACTACTCCATTTCTAGTTTTAGTTCTAGTTTTAGTTTTACCAGTACTCCATCATTTCTAGTTTTAGTTTTAGTTTTAGTTTTACCAGTACTCCATTTCTAGTTTTAGTTCTAGTTTTAGTTCTACCAGTACTCCATTTCTAGTTTTAGTTCTAGTTTTAGTTTTACCAGTACTTCATTTCTAGTTTCAGTTCTAGTTTTAGTTCTACTAGTACTTCCGTTTTAGCTTTAGTTTTAATTTTAGTTCCATGCCAAATTCTGATTCTGGCCTTATAGTTCTAGTTTTAGTCCTACTAATACACCATTTCTAGGTGATTTTTATAATTTTTTAATGAAATTTAATTTTAATAACTTAAAAGGGTAGCATTTTAGTTCTATAGTTTTAGTTTTAGTTATTCAAAAGGGTACCGTTTTAGTTCTAGTTTTAGTTTTAGTTTTAGTTATTAAAAGGGCTCCATTTCAGTTCTAGTTTTAGTTTCAGTTATTAAAAGGGTAGCGTTTTAGTTCTAGTTTTAGTTCTAGTGATTTATAAGTGCACATTTTAGTTTCAAGTTCTTAATAGCTAAATCTTTTTAGTTCCAGTGCTTTAATTTGTCAAATTCTAGTTTTAGTTCTAGTTTTGGTTTTTTGTATCAATGTAGTTCAGTTCTAGTGCTAGTTCTTGGAACTAGAACTAGGAAAAAAATAGATGTACTAAAATAGATTTAGTTCTAGTTCCGTTGGAACTAGCACAACACTATTTTAGAGGTACTTTTGTACAGGTTTTTTTACCAATTGGGACATTGCAAATTTATTATAAATGGTTCTATATACTGTTAATATTAATATATTTACGTCAAAGGCTGGCAGTTCATCAGGTTTCACGGTATATACTCCACTGCATACTTTACCCTTTTCATATGCTTCCTTACAATTACGAGGAAGGCAACCTATTAGTAAAATAGATACAGTATGTCTAATCATTATTATTACTGTATGACTTACATGCTTTTTGTGTTTCCTGTGCAGTAGCAATGCTAATAAGAATGAAGCATCCTATCAGCTTAAAATAAGAACAGGAATCCATCTTGTCTTGACTTGCTGTATAGAACTAATGCTGAACAATTCTTTTACTGAGGCTACCAGTGATGAGTTTTTGTGTATAGCTACTGCTTTTATAACATGCTGCAGCTTCATTTCCTATTACAAAAACTGCCAATTTTTGTAATAGGAAATGAAGCTTTACAGATCTGGGTGGGGTAATTAGAAGGTGTGGTCAAGTAAGCTTGTGCAAACCATAGATATTCATGCAGTATTTCTTATCCCACCAGTTTGCAAGCACCCTCTTGTTCTTTACTTTTTTCCAATTTAATCCTGCTACTTTTCCATTTTTAATGTTCTTTATTTGCTTTTAATATTATAAATTAATTCATAAACATTCTATTTTGTATCATGATCATAAATGAAGGTTAACTGTACTTACAATGTTGTATATCTTCTTGTGCATTGATTATAAAGTTTCAAGGCATAGTAAAAATTCCACAGACCAAAAAAAGGAGAAGGAACAGATAGAGAAAGACCATAAGACAATAATAAAGACACGATAAACAGTATTTTTAGTTAAAGTAATTAAGGTACATGTACATTATCATCTAATGAGATGAATGTATGATACAAAATAATGTAGCTACGTCGAATACTGCAATTTCATTGGTCGATTGCCATAGGCATAATAGAACAATACTTGATGGATATAAGAATGTATATTATTAATTATATCATAAAAAGGAAATGGAAGTCGGTCCAATAACTATTGGCAGGAACTACAATTGAAAGTTGGTCAGTGTCTTAATTTACTATTCCATTTTATTGCCTTCTCTTGGCTTGTCAGTCATTCAGAATCAGTGGGTTAATCTACTACCGGCTCGCACTCACAGTAAAAATTACTATTGTGAGTATTGTACTACAGGGCATGTGTGTGTGGCCAAATCAAAAATGGTTAGGAGGTGATTTGCCATTTCAATTAATTTTTCTGATATGTGTATGAAGAATGATCATTAGTAGAATAGGATGTAATAAACGCATGACTTGTTATTCTCCATTTTTTAAGGGCCATTTCTGCGAAACATTCTAAGTTGTCAGCCTGTGCATTGGATTCACCAGTGGGGACTGTAGTTGAAGGAAGTTTAAAACATTGCGCATGGGCAATTTCTTCAGACAGAAAAGTTTGAGCTTATTCTAATTAAAATTAGATTTTTACCAATTTTTAAAATTGATTAAATACTGAGGGAAAGTCTCTGTAATATTGTACAGATTTTGGTCAAATTTCACCAAAATTGAAAAGGAGAGAATTCCTCAATTTTATTACATTTTCTGATAGATACAAATGTACATATGTGGTGTAGAAAGTTTGAGCTGATTTCTATCAGAATTAGATTTTTTTTATAAATTTTAAAAGCTAAGCTTGTCTAAAAATGGCTAGTACAACGAGTACTGAAATTTCCTACCAGTCTAAGATAACTTCCTTCACTAAATTTGTCTTAGTGTTGGCATAAACAACATTATGAAAGTTGGTAAGCTTGTCTAAAAATGACTAGTACAACGAGTACTGAAATTTCCTACCAGTCTAAGATAACTTCCTTCACTAAATTTGTCTTAGTGTTGGCATAAACAACATTATGAAAGTTGGTAAGTGTCTTAATTCACTATTCCATTTCATTGCCTTCTCTTGGCCTGTCAGTCAATCAGTAGGTTAATCTGGCTCACACTCACAGTAAAAATTACTATTGTGAGTATTGTACTACAGGGCATGTGTGTGTGGCCAAATCAAAAATGGTTAGGAGGTGATTTGCCATTTCAATTAATTTTTCTGATATGCGTATGAAGAATGATCACCAGTAGAATAGAATGTAATAGACGTATGACTTGTTATTCTCCATCTTTTAAGGGCCATTTCTGCAAAACATTCTAAGTTGTCAGCCTGTGCATTGGATTCACCAGTGGGGACTGTAGTTGAAGGAAGTTTAAAACATTGCGCATGGGCAATTTCTTGAGATGGAAAAGTTTGAGCTTATTCTTAGATTTTTACAAATTTTTAAAGTTGATCAAATACTGAGGGAAAGTCCCTGTAATATATATATATAGTACAGATTTTGGTCAAATTTCACCAAAATTGAAAAGGAGAGAATTCCACAATTTTATTACATTTTCTGATAGATATAGGTGTACTTATGTTGTGTAGAAAGTTTGAGCTGATTTCTATCAGAGATTTCTATCAGAATTAGATTTTTTATGAATTTTAAAAGCTTGTCTAAAAATGGCTAGTACAACGACTACTGAAATTTCCTACCAGTCTACAAGATAAGTTCCTTCACTAAATATACTAAACTTAATTAAATGAGAATACATTGTCTTAGTGTTGGCATAAACAACATAGTGAAAGTTCGTAAGTGACTCCAGTTACTATCATGTTCCATTGTCTTCTCTTGGCTTACCATTCAATCAGTGAATCTGCTGTTGAGTTTATTTGGCAAACAAAAACAAAACAAGATTTTCCATTAAAATTTAATAACAATCAATACACATGTACATAATCACAGGTCACAGAAGTGGTAATTAAATGAGTGGGTTGTGTTTGGTATTTGGGTGTGGCTCTACACTACCTTGTTAATGTGACTGAGGAGTCTGTTGTGTGCGATTGAGTGAAAGTTCTCTACTCTGCTCCCGTGATAGGCTAAGAAGGTACCGTACTCTGAGGCTGTTCTATGCCATTTCCCCTCTCTCTCTAAGGACAGAGGCACTAAGAATCTATTGAAACAAAATGTCTTTGGATTGAGGTATAATATATATATAACAACACAATCACCCTCTCTCCTCCATTAGGTGCTTCTGGTGTTACTGTTAGAGGAGAATCTGTTGACAGTAAAACTGTTCCACAGGCTCCTAATGCCAAGCAACAAGCAGGTCCTCCCACTTCAATAAAATAAAGAAACTAAATTAATAATAATAATTTTGTTAATAAACTTCACTAAAAAAATTTTTTTAAAATGATTTTCAGTGAGAATGACCACGTGGAAGCACGTGGGTACTAATTTAGAGGAGTGGCCACTGAAAGAAAGATGCTTGCTTATTTATTCAGAAGGTCAGATAAAGGCTTGTTGGTAGTCAATCATTAGTACTGTAGCTCATAATCACTTTAATAAAGTTTTGTAGGATTTTTGAGGGCCATTTAATGAGCTGCAGCGGGCTACATCAATTGATGTCAGTATGTATATATCACTAGCTTTACTGTGACAAGAAAGGAAATGACAAAACTATAAGTATTCAAAAAATAATAATAATGTGAAATAATGTGTTTCTTAATCATCTTACCAGGACAACCTCTTTAAGATGACCGAACATAAGAAGAGCAGATTGAATAACAACCAACACCAACAAGGAGTTACTTACCACGCTTTAACAGCATTGATGTAAGAATTATTATTATTACCGTATACAGCATATATTTCCCGGAAATTAAATTTCGCGATTTTCGTGTTTTAGAAAAATTTGTGAAATTAATTTCCGCAAAATAGCGTGCTGATTGTATAGTAGGTGTGGTAATTACATTGAAATTGCAAAAAATTTTATTTGCAAATACAAAAAATGCAGCCAAATTGCAAAATTTTATACCCGCGAAATATATGCCGTATATGGTATTATTATTGTTGTTGTTGTTGTTGTTGTTGTTTTATATATATGTCATCAGTATTTGATGTACAGTATAATTGTTCAGTAAAGATAGAGATGGCATTGAATGGAATGATATGTATACTTCATTAATGATGATAGACAAACACATCACATACATGTATCTGTTGTTGTATTCAAGGTACAAAATAAGGTTCTCATATTTGTTAATCAAATGTTCTAAAAAGAATACAAACTAAGTCTTTGTATTCAATATTTTAGGCAGCAAAAGTGCTATTACAGTGCTCTTATATTTTGTAGAGAAATTGAGCTGTTTCTGGGCAAAATGGAAGTGTTAATTTTACTCTAAAAATTTGCTAAAACATTGTGTGTAGTTTTTTTATATTTCTGTTTTTAATCAGTGGCTACAGTAGGTGTGGTAATAAGTTCTGTGATTTCACAAGTGACAAATCAGTACTGACTCAGAAAATTACTACTGAGATGCATGGATAGAGTAAATATGTCAATAGTAAATGTAAATACTGTAAATATAAAATATGTTTATTGCTAGTATCCTGGGAAGCCATAAGATGAATGGTATATGTAGAGTACACTAACACTATTACTGATATCACTGGTGGGACCAAGTACACTTGTTACATACATGTAGATGCTACATGTACATGTATTTATTCTTAGTATGGTGTATTTTGGTTCTAATGTCTTTCTAATGGTAATCTCATTATCATTTCTACACATACACTGCTAGTGTTTGTTAATTGTGATTGCATGTACACGCATAAAGTATTTGACAAGACTTGAAATTAATTCAATATTTGTGGCAAAAAGTAAATATAAATGGACTCAACTATACTAGCAATAATGAACTGTTAGTTCTCCAGTAGACACTGACTGTTTAACTGCTTCTAAATTTCATTTCAGTTGTCTTCAGTGAATAATAGTGTCCCTTGAAATGATACCAATTGACACCATCAGCATATGAGGAGTGAGGCCCAACCAAATAGCGACCATTGAGGTTTGAATGATGACAATGTTTATACCACCATCCTCCTTTATAACGTTTTGAACAGTCTTCTGAGGGGCCAGCATCATTGTCTTGATTCTTGGTAGAGAACTTCATTCCATTATGATAGCTCAGACTATCTCCAGCATTGCCTTTATATCCAGACACAGTCAGTTTGTACTTTGTAACTGCATTCCCTACATTAAATTTAGAATAAGTAGCAAACCTCTTATTCCCATTAAAATCTGCCATGTCAACACGGAGCCTAGTGCTTTGTCCTGCTGTAAGTCGATTTATTTTGTTAAGTCCCAGCCAGAACTCTCCTTTGAGGTCACCAAATCCTTTTTCATAGTC